ATCAGAAGAATATTAGGAATCAGTCATGCAAAACTCTAAAAACAGATCATTACAAGTAGAGGGAACAACAAGTGCAAAAGCCTAAGGCAGAAATACGTGTGGTATGTTTGAGAAACAGAATGTCCAGAGTGGCTGGAATATACTGAACTGGCAGGGAATTATCTAAAACAAAGTCAATGAGGCAGAAAGGGGTCGTTTCACATATAGAGCTATATAGGATATGGTAAGAAGTTTGGAATTTATTTTAGTACAATAGGAAAACATTGGGATTTTTTTCATTGTTCTGGAATCCATTTATTTCATCAAAAGATTTACATTTGACTATAAACATGCAGCTACATTGTTGTAACAACAACTAATGAAGAATGAAAAATGAATTTTGAAAATACAGTGTTCCTTGCTACATGTTGGACAAAAATTAAAAACAAAGTTTCTGAGCATGCTAAAATTATGTTAAAATCTTTTTTTTCATTCCCATCATCATCACTCCTTTGGAAATTTGGTTTTTTCCTATGAATAATAAAAATGAAACACAGGAGCGTTTTAGGTATATTGGTAGTAGACATTGGAAATTCTTGAGAAGGGGACTGTGATAATTTGTTTCAAAATATTACTCTGGATATTAGCTAGAGAATGAATTTTTGAAGGGCAAGAAAAAACGGGAGAGATAGTTAATGAAACTTTTTATAATATAGACAAGGTAAAATGATGACTTAGACTAGAGGAGCAACATGAGATAAAAGAAAGCAAATTTGATATTATGGAGGTAGGGTAATTGGACTAATTCTGAATTCTCAGATGTTTTTTATACTCTACTATTATGTGCTATGCATGGTGCTAATTAATTCCTGGAGACAGAAACATTAAAAAGATGTAAGCCCTACTTTTAAGGAATTCACAATTTAGTAGGGGGAACAGATAAGTAAATACTTTGAATACAGTGTGATGAACACATAGTACTAATGTTAACAGCAGTTGTTAAAAGTTAAATTCAATACTAGAAAAAATAACAGATACACGGAAGGAGTTGATGATCCTGAAAACAGGGAGTGTTTATAGGAATCTTCATACAGGACACAAAGGGCTATAGTTCTGGGTTTTTTTTCCCCCCATTTGAGATATTATTTACCCATAACATTGTGTACATTTCAGGTGTACAATGTGTTGATTTGATACATATATATTGCAAAATGACTAACATTACAGCATTAGCTAGCAATTCCATCATATTACATAATTATTATCATTTCTTTTTGTGGCAAAAACATTTCAAATTTGTTCCCTTAGCAGCTTTCAGGTATATAGAATAGGTTATTAACCATAGTCACTACACTGTACATTAATTCCCCAGAACATATTCATTTATAACAGATATCTGTACTCTTTGAGCACAGAGAACTGTCTTTAAAGGAAAAAGGAGTGGGGTGAAATAGGAATATGTGCATGAAATAGCTTTGTGAATTCCAGAAACATTTAGGATGACTGGAACCTAGAATTTAAGAAAAGTAGTAGTGTCAGATGGAAACAAAGTATTTTAAGTGAGAAGTGATTATAATAGATTTACAAATATACAGTATCACTTTGACCTTATAAGGGAGTAGATAGATTTAAAGAATGCAAAACCAGAGGTAAGAGGTACTTCCACTTCCAACCATGAGGTAGTAACAGGGACTAGATTTACCTTTCCACTTAACCAGAAAATAATACAGTATCACCAAAACAATGTTTTCAGACATTGGGCAACAGAATGCACTACTATGAACCCTGAGAATGAAGCAAGTCGTTTGATTCCCTCAATGTGCAACCTGCAGGAAGACTTTACATTGCAGAGAGAAAAGAAAATCAAGAGTCTGGTGGGCTTGTTGAATTCAGGAGACAGATAATGAAGTTTTGAGGACAGGGGGAGGGTTGGGGAGGGAGAATCAGTGGGACAGAGTGCCAGAGAGGAAGTAACTACATTAAAGATTTGGAGATCTGCAGTGGGTTCCTCCTGAGTCTGAGTATTGGCTGAGTATTGATCTGTTCTGTGCATGCAAATAAACTACCGGAGGCTGGGGAAAGAATGTTAGAAAGCTGTCAGTCAAACCATTCCCACAGCTCACATAGGAGGCTGGGAATATTTTGTATGAAAAGTCAGAGTAGGAAGATATCATAAGGCACAAGGCATCAGACAGAGTTCTCAGAAGAGGAATGCTTTAGCAGTACAGATATATTAGGCCTAGATTCAAAAGTCTGGCCTGAATGCAATCTAAAAACAATTTTTTTAAGGCAATGTCAATACTTGTTGATTCTGTAAATTCATGTGCAACTTTTACATTTTTCATGGAAATTTTCTGTATTTCAAAATACAAAAACAAGAAAACCAGATATTTTCCCCAGAGAACACAAGTCTTCCTGCTATTCAGTTTTTGTTGTTGTTTTATTTTTTGCATAGAAGAACTGGGATGGATGCCAAAGGTGAGAGGATTCACCAGAGACAGAGTGGGGAACAGAACAGGCAGATTAAGGAAAATACACTGCTGAGGGGAGCAGTGATATACATACACATTGTGAAATCTTTACCACAATCAAGTTAATTAACAGATCGATCACTCCACAGATATGTTTTTGAATGTGTGTGGTGAGAATGCTTAAGATCTATTCTCTTAGCAAGTTCATGTATATTATAGAGAATTGTGAATGACAGTCACTTGACTGTCCATTGCACCCTCAGAGTTCATTTATTTTATAACTGAAAGTTTATATCATTTGACCAACATCTCCCCATTTTCCCCCAATCTTTTTTTTAGATATACAAAATATCACATAATACCACTTGTACCACAGATATGAGTCTTTCTCTGTATGATTTATGTCATTTAGTATAATGCCCTCCAGTTTCATCCATATTGCAAATGGCAGGATTCCTTCTTTTTGTGGAATATGTACCATATCCCACTGTATATAGGGACCATTATTTAAAAGTCCATTCATCTGTCGTGGGCACTCTGGTTGTTTTCATGTCTTGGCTGGCATGAATAATGATGCAGGGAACATGGGAGTGGAGCTACCTCTTCAAGATACTAATATCACTTTCTTGGGAGTATATCCAGGAATGGGATTGCTGGGTTATATGGTAGTTCTAGTTCTAATTTTTATTACTTATTTTCTATTTTTAATTTTGTGAGGCACCTCCATACTGTTTTTCATAATGGCTATAATAATTTACATTTCCACCAGTAGTGTTCTCTTTTCTTCATATTCTCTCCAGTATTTCTCTTGTCTTTTTTAAAATAACCATTCTGACAGGTGTGAGGTAGATCATTCATTGTGGTTTTCATTTGTATTTCCTGATGATTAGTGAGGTTAAGCAACTTTCATGTACCTGTTGGTTATTTGTATGTCATATTAGAAAATGTCTATTCAGGTTACTTGCTCTTTTTAAGTTCCTTATATATTATAGAAATGAATATATTTAATTTTTTTCATATTATTGTTGGGTTACAATACTGTATATATCTTAGGGGTACAGGTTCAGATCTCTACAAATAAAGCTTATCACACTTCACCGACCACCAAAGCCCCAATAATCCTTTTCCATTTCCATTGTGTCTCCTCCCCTTTTTGCTCCCACCCTTACAACCTCCCCTTTTGGTAGCCTCAGTTCTGTAGACAGAATTTGGTTGTGATTCTTTGGTTGTAGTAATAGAAACAATATTCTAAGTTATGCAAAAATGAGAACTTATAAAATTACAAGGGAGCCATGCCAAAGTCAAGAACAAAGTTAAAAATAGGCCTTAGGGATGGTAGCCAGTCATAGAAATAAAATCTTGCCAGGGTAAGCAAAAAAGGGAGTTTATAATTAGGATAGAAGGGGTTTTTTTTTTTGTATTTTTTTTTTTGTTTGTTTTGGTTTTTTACCAAGCCAAGGGCAGGATTCATGAAGGACTGGAACAAGGGGATGGAGCACTGTTAAAATGAGAGGAATCACATTTTCTCCAATTCTCTGCTTTCCACCTTGCAAATGCTTCATTGCTTTTTCACTGCAGATTTGCTGTTTTTGTTTTCCTCCCAAACCACAAGATGGGACATGCAGTCCATAGTCCCCCAGTTTATATTCCTTCTATGCCAGAGACTAGTCAATGGTAGAATCTCTTGTCTCCAAACCCAAATTCCTTAGGAAGTTTTAGGATCTTAACAATATTAGAGGCAACTTCCTTCACAAGATAGGCAATAAGATAAAAGTTGTAGGACACCAAGAGACAAAGATCAGTTAAATTTTTTTATGGGTTCTTACAAACCCTGACCTGAAATGAGTACTTAGATTTAGGGTGGGTATAGGGAGATGTTCTCACAATGCATAAGCATACTGTGTAGAAATGATAAGGCACTTAAAAAGGAAGTTGTTCTAATCCTTTTTAATATTTTCCCTGGGACAGAAATATAGGCCTAGGTAATGCTTTTATCTTATTTGAGACAAGTTGCCTTTATTGTAATAGGAATGATATTGGGACAACATGAAAAGGTATTGATATGAGTAATTTAAATACAAAAAATTATATTATTTTTTGTTAATTGTTTTTCCCAGGAGAAAAAAAAGGAGAAACTAATTATGTAGAGAATATTTAAGAGAAAAGGGAAAAAAAGATTAAGTACATGGTGGGTATCAGAAATCCATCAGAACCATAAATAGAAAATTAACACAGGGTCTCTCAGATGACAGAAATTCTGATTCATGTAATTGATTCAGGTGCCAATGTACATAGCTGCTGCCATTGTCATCATGATGGCGTGAGGGATGGGGGTCCATTCTTAGAACTAGAAATGGAAGAAGACAAAGAAAATTATTTTTTGGATTCTTCAGAATATTCCAGGCTCCCCTTGATCAATCCTTTTTGTTTGTTTTTGCTTACCAAAATCATGATATAATAAGATTTGAAGTGCAGATGACTTGTGTATTTAAAATTCAAAAAAGCTCGTGGAGCTATTCTATTCAGCCTGACCCACATTAAAATAAATTGAAAATGTCAAAGTATAAGGAAATGCTCTGAATTCTTTATTCAAAAATATATTTGTGCTGATGATTTCTTAAATTAATTCTTCTTATATTGAAATACATTTTATTATTATGTCTTTTGATGAGATACAAGGAGTTAAACTTAGTGTTCATGACAACACTCTAGTTCTTGTAATTTTGTTTCCAGAAATAAGAATGGGCAAGGCAAATAGGAACACTCTATGGTAAAGAATAAGAAAAGGAATATAATCATGGACATGTTAAGAGACTCAGAAGCCAGTAATTCAGCTTTAACTTTACATGATTTCAATGAATACAAAGTTTCCCCAAAAATCATTCAGTATTATGTTGAATGAAGGTTTGGTATTTCAACCTCTGTATTTCTTTGTGTAATTATTTCCTTAATGTTGTCATCTTTTTGATCATCACCAAGTGTCTTATTCAGTACATTTTCAGTACATTCATCTAATGAAATGGTTGACAGGTATGAAAATACTTTCTCCATTAGAGGTTCCCTGAGAAGAGGCATTGGTGAGCTCTTTTTTGATGGAGAATCATCAGAAAACCAGTCATCAGCTGCTTCTATACTTTGGCTATAACAAGAATCTGATGGTAACGTTGATACACTTAAGGTAGCACTGCTGCAATTTGTTGCCAAGCTAGTCTCTGAGGGATCACAAATAACCTTTTTTGTTGCGAGGCAGAACTCATCTTTAGAGTGATCTTCAATTGCTGTAAAAGAAAATTAGATTTACTATGAATATTACATAATTGTGAGCCAAATCTTAATGATAAGGATAATGTTTCTTTTAAAAATGCAAACTCTTTTTAGAATTATAATGGACAGGAGGATGCTACAGTGAAAATTCTGAGTTGCTCTCATGTACAGTACAGTAATATGTAATTGGCAATATCTTTATGATAATGAAGATTAGAAAAGTCTGTTCTGAATAAAGGAACCTATTTTAATAGGTGAAGTTTCTATAGAGGCTAGAAATCTTAGTTCTTCAATGTCCCTTAAAATTAGAAAAGTCAAATAGTTTTTTAACCTTAGTTAAAAATAATCTAACTTAAAAATATATATACTTCCTTGATCAGCTAGGTTATTTTTGTCCACAATGGGAAGGGCCTATGGATTGGCTTTATTTATTTATTTATTTATTTATTAAATTTTGCTTGAACTTTATTTATTTATTAAAGTTTTATTTATTTATTTATTTATACAAGCACTGGGTGCAGTCAGAAGCGCAGGAGGGTGAGAGAATTCACCAGAGCCAGAGCGGAGAGCAGAGCAGGCAGATGGACGAAATACACTGCTGAGGGGAGCAGCGGGCGGCAGGAGAGGTCTGCGTGCCATGTGGGACCCTCGCTGGTGGCCGGGGATTGAACCGGCGCTGCAGAGGCTGCTGGCAGCTTCGCAGCCCAGCGCTCAACCGCTGTGCCACCAGGGGAGGCCCCTATGGATTGGCTTTATACCAATAAACGTAATAGCATTCCTATAGAACATTACAATTTACAAACTGGATTGAAATCCTTCCATATCTCATTTTTAGACTCAATAATTCATTAAGGTTGTTATTGTTAGCACTTCAAAAAAGAGAAGACTAAGACAGACTTAGAGAAACAGCTCACCACAAATCAAATAAAAAATGGACTTCAATATAGATTTTTGATACTTTAAGTCTCCAGTGCTTCTATCATTACATTATTTATGCTGCTGATTGATATTTTAAAATGTGTTGTTTTAGAAAATATTGCATTTCTATAACATCATAAAAAATCTTTTATATTTATATTAACTTATAAATGTGAAATTATGAAACTGGTTTAGATATCTTTTTACATAGCATTTCTGATATTATATAGAAGTGTAATGTTTCAAGATACTAAGACATAATTGCAATATATAAAGGGTGATAAAACACTTATGACCTTTTGCCCTCCAGCAGTTCTATACAGCATTGAGTATGGTGTCTTTGGATATAAATAGGGACAAAAATTAAATTTCACATTTTAATATAAAGTGATATTGGAAGATTTGTTTTCTAAAAATATATGTGCGTTCACATACTAATACACTATTTTTTCTCTTGAATTGTTATGGCTTGTAAAAATACTTAGGTAACATTTATGATAACCTCTTAATTCTTTAAAATATGAATTGCTATAAGTTGATTACAATTTCTTTTAATAAATTTTTGAGGAAAAGTACCTTTTGTTTGTGATGTTTCCTTTCTTCTTTGCTCCTCCTACATAAAAATTATTTGTATTTTAAAAAGTTTTTACATAATTTCTTCAATATATATGGGAATAATATATTTTAGCATCATAACAAATTCTGATAGTTTTTCTGACATGAATTTATTTTATCGAAATATTTTGACAGAAAAGAAAAAGAATTGAGCTATCATCTGGAAAAAGAATATAGACTGGTTCCAGAAGGCAGTCTCCAGGAGAGGAGTGCAATAGAATTATTTCTCTTTCCTCTCTCTAACTTAAAGTTAGAACTATAGAGAACAAAAACAGTAATTAGAATTCCTAGACTTACTCATTTCATTAACCAACAGCAGCAAAAGAAAAGTGAATCCTAGCTGAAGGCTTTTTCAAAAATTCAACTCTTTTGAAGCAAATAAAGTATTTCCTCAAACAGTACATGCCAGCTATACTCTGGGAAGCTGGCACTGTAGTAGTTCTCAAATTTAAGAGCATTAGAATCACCTGCTGTGCTTGTTAAGATGCTCATTCTTGGTCATAATATCGGAGAGACCCTACAGTAACAGATTCTCTGAGCGTGGGGCTTGAGAGCATGTATTATAACACACTCAAGTGATGCTGATTCAGATTTTCCTTCAAGCGCTAAACAATGGACTAGTGCATAATATCTAAGATGGAGTGAGTGAAAATGGAACATATATAGATAGATAGATAGATGTAGTATATCTACACACATAGGATATATAGAACAACATTTTTTCCACATGGACACACATACAATATATAGAATAGCAATTTTTATAACTTTGTGACTTTTTCCTTTTATATAGATAAAGGCCAACATAGATAAGTTCTTGAACTTACCTTGCCTGGATTTAAGATAAATACAATTTATGAGTCCTGTATATATTATGTTAGAATATTGCTTCTCAGACTTTATATGCCTATTTAGCTTGATAAACTATAGATTCTGACTCAGTAGGTCTGGGGTTGGGTCTGAGATTCTGCATAACAGATTCATAGGTAATGCTAATATTGCTGGTCTGGGAACCAGAAATTAAGCCTTAGACTGATTCAATTCTATCCAAACTAAGGGAATGACAAAATAGGCCATCCATGTTTTCTTTTATTTTATGACACATTGTAAAAATGAGCAGACAAGCCACAGTTTGGAAAAAACACATGTATAACATATGTATCTCACAATAGACATATATCCAAAATATATTAAGAACTCCTTCAAGTCATAGCTTAAAAAACAAACAAAACAAAATAGCAAATTTAAAAATGGGCAAAAGACTGCAACAGACAGGTCACACACAAAAATATAAAACTGGCCAATGAACACATGAAGGTGCTTAACACCTTTAGCTATCAGATACATCTAAATTAAAGGCTTACTGAAATACAATTTAAAACCCATTAAAATGACTAAAATTAAAAAATAGTATTAACATCAAATGTCGGCAAGGATGCAGAACAACCAGAACTCTCACTTACCCTTGCTCATGGAAGTGCAGTAAATTACGATCACTTTAGAAATGTGTTTGACAGTTTTGCATAAAGTTACACATGTCCTCACCCATTCTATGCTCAGGGATTTTTCCCATGAGAAAATGAAATCTATGCTCAGTGAAAGTACATGGATATTAAAAGCAGCTTTATTTATACTAGTCAAAAACTGAAAACAATAGAGAGCCCAGAAATGAATCCACACATATGTGTCAATTGCTTTATTATAAAGGAGTCAAGAATCTAATATAGGGGAAGGACAGTCTCTTCCATAAATGGTGTTAGGAAAACTGCATAGTCACATGCAAAAGAATGAAACTGGACCCCCATTGTGCACCATCCACAAAAATAAAAATAGATCAACTTTAATGTAAGACCTGAAGTCATAAAACTCTTAGAAGAAACATGGTGCTAATCTCCTTGACATTGGTCTTAGCCATGATTTTTTTGGATCTGTCTCCAAAAGCAAATACAACAAAAGTAAAAATCAGTAAGTGAAATACGTCAAACTCCAAAACTTATGCACAGCAAAGGAAACTATCAACCAAATGAAAAGAAAATCTCCCAAATGGGAGAAAACACTTGCCAATCATATATCTGATAAAGGAATAACATCCAAAATAAATAAAGAATGCATGCAACTCAATAGACAATAATAAATTGATTTAAAAATGGGCAGAGGATCTGAAGACATTTTCCCAAAGAAGACATGTAGATGGCCAAAAGATAAATGAAGAGGTACTCAACATCAGGAATAATCAGGAAATACAAATCAAAACCACATTGAGATTTCACCTTACACCTGTTGGGATGGATATTATCAAAAAGACAAGAAATAACAATTGTTGACAAGCTGTGGAGAAAAGGGAACTCTTGGACACCGTTTGTGATGTAAATTGGTACAACCATTATGGAAAACAGTATGGAGTTTCCTCAAAAAGTAAAAAAATAGACACACGGGTAACTCAGCAATCCCGCTTCTGGGTATATAACTGAAGGAAATGAAATCACTAACTTGAAAAGATGCCTGCACCCCCAAGTTCATTACAGCATTAATTATAATAGCAAAGACATGAAAACAACCTAAGTATCCATCAGGGGATGGATAAAAGAAATGGGGGTTTATATGATGAGTCTTTTCCTACTATTCTCTACTACGAACCTGAGGCTCCAAATGCAACATTTTTACTGAACATATTACTTCCTTTCATAACTATTTTTCATTTTTCCTTCTTGTCAAATTCCTATTCATGTCTCAAAACCCAGCTAAAACTGTTTCCTCTGTGAAGCCTTCCTCAATTGAAGTTACTTTGTCTGCATTTCTTCAATTTTGTGGCTCTTATCACATTGTGTTTTAATTTTTTGTATGTTTTTCTTTTCTGCATTAATCTTGAGCTTATCTGGGCCTGGATTCATATCTTATATGTGTATACAGCCTCAGTGCCAAAACTAGTGTTGCGATAGTTACGGCACTCAAAAAATGTTTATTGAATGAACACTGAGTTCAACTTGAATTCAGTATTCAAGATGTACATTGAGACATTGCCCTCCATCAGTGTTGCTATTTATCTCTGCATGTTGTAAGGCTATTAGAGTATAGCAGGTTTTGGAATAATAATGTTTCATTCAAAGTCATTTTATTGTAGTGTTACTGAGAAAAAAAATTGATGCCCAGGGGCCACTGTTGGTATGCAGTTTTTAGGGTCTCCCCTGTCTGCGTGGGTTTTCTCCAGGTTCTCTGTCTTCCTCCCACATTCCCAAAATGTGCACATTAGGCTCACTAGCATGTTGAAATTGTCCCAGGAGGCGTGGGGTAGATGTGAGCATACCCTGGGATGGTGTGGTAAGCTGCATTTTTCCCTGAGCTGCCAGGATGAGCTCTGGTCACCCAATACCCTGAACTGGAAGGAGCAGGTTAGAAAATGAATGCATGAATGAAGGAATGGATACAAATTATGTTTAGTATTTTAAGTGTTTGGAGTCTTTAGAAGTTTGAAGATAGTTTTGTGACCAGAAATATGCTCTAGGAAATTAACTTTGGTTTTTATCAACTAGCCTATGGTAAAATACTTTTCGTGATGTGCCTTTTCACTTAAAGTCTCCATTCACAAGACAGCATTAAATGAGGACCTACTGCATTTGTTCTGTTTAGCTATACCATAGTTTGAAATTTCTACTAGCATTTTAGCCCATGTAATGTTTCCGGCACTTACCACATTGCATAGAGTTAATTATGTATATGCTTTTCCTACTGTACTACACTAGCATCTCCAAGGTCTGGGTTCCATCTTACTATCCTCAGTAGGCCAGTCTAGAGTTTAGAATGCAATGAAGTCTTAATAAATCCTTGCTAAGTTGTATTTAATTTCAGTTAGTTGGCTTGGTTAGGTTATCTGAGTATCAACTTATCTCCAAATTTCTATCCTTTGATAGACCTGGTAACTTTGGTGGGTTTTTTTTTTCCCTTATCCATTTTTCCTCATCTCTACAACAGTTCCAAAAAAAGACAAATGTAGGTTCTCAGGTTAGAGATATAGAGATGCAACTGTAGAAGGAGACATTTTCATTTAGTTTTCCAGTTTCCTATAGATTAGTTCTAACTGCTTTGGTTAATTTAAATTTAGCTTCATGTTTTGTATCTCAAATTTAAAAATATCTGTGTACACTCTGTGTTTAAAAATTAAAGACAACAATGCTAATAACATGGTGTCAAAAGAAATTATTTGAAAAGAGTGCTATGAAATATACTCTACCTGTAATTGGAATTTTCCAGTATGAAAATTTCGAGAAATAAAAACACACTGAGGGTGAGATTTAACCTTCGCCTTTAATGGCCTTTGCTTACATCGCACATCCTTTGCTTGAAATTTGGAATTTTGAAATATTTCTCTGAAAAATATTTTATAAAGAATGTTAGTAAACATGAATTATGAACCAATTAAAATTGTTCAATAGTTACATGTAATGGTTTAAAAGTTGAAATAAATATATTACTATTTAAAAACACAAATCAGCTTATATATTCCCTTCCTATATGTCACTGATTTCATTACACCTGTTTTTTTCATAGAATGCTAAATTAAGCTACTTCTTGTACAAGATTAATATTTCCAATTGAAGATTAACCATGAGTTTTTTATATTCTTCTGTTGTTTTTTTAAGATTTATTTATTTATGCATACAAGAACTGGGGTACAAGTCAGAGGTGTGGGGGGGGTGAGAGGATTCACCAGAGACAGAGTAGGGAACAGAACAGGCAGATGTTCTGAAATACACTGCTGAGGGGAGCAGCAGGCGAGACAGGAGAGGTCTGCTGCGCCATGTGAGTAGTTCCCTGACCGGAGATTGAACTCATGCTGCAGTGGCTGCGGATAGTTTCATAGGTTGCGTATTAACCCCTTGCGCCACCAGGGAGGCCCTATATTCTTCTTCTGATTGTGAGAGAATCAATTGACTTCAATGTTACTCTTTTCATAAATTTGCCTTTAATGGCAAAGGAAATTAAATAAAACTGCTCAATTTTTTAAAAAAAGATTTATTTATTTACACATAGAAGAAGTGGGGTGTAAGCCAGAGGTGCAGGGGAGTGAGAGGATTCACCTGAGACAGAGTGGGGAGCAGAATAGGTAGATCCACTGAAATACACTGCTGAGGGGAGCAGCGGGCGAGACAGGAGAGGTCTGCTGTGCCATATGTGGGTAGCTCCCTAGCTGGTTAACACTTAGGCCACCAGGGAGGCCCATTTTGTATATATCTTTAGAGGAAAAAATAACCTTCTTGACCCGACGTTCTCTTCTAGTGATCTGCTCCCAGTCTACCTCTCTCACTCTGATCTATTTACAATAGCCTTTTATTTATTGAACAGTATCAAAATCATTCCCACTTGGAGTCTTTATACTTTCTATCTCTTCAGCTTTGAAAGTTCTTCTACAGGGTTTTCACATGGCTGGCTCCTTCTTTTCATTAGGTCTCAGATTAAACACTGCCCACTCTAGAAGTCATTCCCTGGGCATTTTACCTATTTGTTCACTATTTGTCTCCTCCCAGTGGCACTGCAAGTCTATGAAACAAGTCTAGGAACCTTGTCTGACTTGTTCACAGTCATATCAATCAGTACCTACAACAATGGCAGGCACCCAACAAATATTTGTTCAAAGAATGAATAAGTGAATAATTCCTAGATTTTTTGATTTGTGCAAATGGACAGATGTATTCATTTGGGAGAAAGGGAACACTGAAACAGTGTGTGGGAAGATCATGTTATGATATATCCTTTTCAATTCAGTTAAAGCAAATATTGAATTGATTAGATAACTTAAAAGCCAAATTTTAGAGTGGAAAGGAACTGAGGTGTCAGGTACCTTTTTTTTTTTCTTGGTCTCTGGCAAAAGACAACACTTAGAGCACACCAGAGCATTCTGTCAGCTATTCTTAAATATCTCCTAAAGAAAGAATGTCTTTCTCTCTCCATAATGTTTTTAACCTTTAAGTTAGTAGTCAAAAACTTTTACATTTTCTAGCCTTATAATTCAAACTCCATTTTCTAAGTAATAAAGTGAATCTCACTATTCCATAAAATCTTAAAGTGTGAATATTACTATTACACTGTTAGGACTATTATACTACTAGGACTTCTCTTTTTTGGGTTATTTTACACATGTAAAGCTTTCTCTGACCAATCAAAGGGTCTATAACCAACCCCCAAATTAAAGAATCAATATTTAAGTTTGGATTTTTTTCAAAGAAAAAAATTAAATAATAAACCTTACCTTCGTTTGCAAATTAGGAACCACAAAGCTGATGCCAAAGCAAAGAAACCAATCCCCAAAGTAACAGCACCAGCAGCCAGAAAATAGGTTAAGTGGTTAAAAAAACCTATACAAATAAATTATAAAAAATTATTTCATGCATGTATCTTCATTCTCTAGGTGAAATTAAAAGACATATCTATATTTCAAATGCTATGCAGTGAAGTGTTAAGACATTAACTAGGAAGCTGGGAGACTTGAATTCTAATATCTGAAGCCATCCTAACAAATACCAAGTCTCTGAATTTGAGAATTGTGTGCACTGTATGTTGACCCGGGCTCAGGGCACATTTCTCTGGCCTTGCCAGGACTTGAGACCTAGATTTTGTTTTTGTACATGTGTCACCTCCTTTTCTTATCTAGTTTCTCCCTTCCCAGACTAGCTGTGAAGGTTTGCGTTATTTTTACAGTATCTTTTGTTACAATCTTCCAATATCAGATACTTTTCATTTTCAGATTGTATTATCAATTACTATAGAAGATGAGGAAACTAAAGAAAAACATAAGGAATTTTTTAAGATCTTAGAAATATTTAAACATTTCATTTCCACTTTATCTCAGGAATAGTAAAAGATCATCGCCAAAAGCTAAATGAAAGGAATATAAAATAATATACCACAGATTTATAATTGGAAAAACTTATAGGAGTTACATGGTATAATTCATCTTAGAGATGACGAAGTTGAGGCCTGGGTAAAAAAAAGTAACTGAATTAAGATTATGCAGTAAATTAAAGCCAATCCTTATTTTAAAAAAATATATTATCCTTGCTACCACTCATGTAAATAATAGTATATATTAAAAAGAATTAGGAATAAATAGAGCATGAGGTAATTATAGTCAGGTTGATCAAGTATTCCTGAAATCAGCTATTGGAGCATAAAATAAATTATAGAAAGTTGTCACAGAAGACTGTATAGTCTTGAAGGGCATTAAGACAACATAGGAGTATATTATTTGGGGTAAAGTGTCTACAAGTATAAAGCTAGTTGAAAGTCTCTATTTGTAAACATAAGTTCCACAAAAGATAAGGCATGATAAAGACCTTGTTCCCATACTTCTGTTGTTTCCTAAGTAATTTTCAGCTTCCAAGATGGTGCCTCTCAAATCTTAATTTTCTTTGGGTTCAGAAATGTTTACATTTGGAACTAATTAATAGTATCAAAGAAGTTACATAAGTGATACTTATAATATGAAAAGAAAATCTAAATGCCCCACATTTGGAAGTCAATTAAATAACTTATGATGATACTACATATGAAAAATATAGTACTATTTAAAAATGATTGAATCAAAAAGGACATAGAAACATTCATTCCAAAGAGCACCTGCACCCCTATGTCTAGAGCAGCACTATTTACAATAGCTAAGCTTTGGAAACAACCCAAATGCCCAAAAATAGATGACTGGATCAAGAAGATGTGGTACATATACACCATGGAATATTACTCAGCATTCAAAAAAGATAAACACATGCAATTTGCAGCAACATGGATGGAGCTGGAAAGGATCATGCTCAGCGAAATAAGCCAGAAAGAAAAAAAATAATACTGGATGGTCTCACTCATAACAGGAATCTAGAAAACCTAAATAAGGGACCAGGAAAAAGAATAACTATAAGGAAGAAAAAAATCAAAATCAACAAACAACTATGAACCAGAGACACACTTTGGGGAGGGAGGGGAAGGAGGGATTGGGGTCAAAATCAGGGGGTTGCAATTGCATGGGGAATATAAAAAAAATAAAAATGACTGGATCAAGAAGATGTGGTATATATACACAATGAAATATTATTCAGCAATCAAAAAAGATAAACTCATGCCATTAGCAGCAACGTGGATGGAGCTAGAAGGATTTATGCTCAGTGAAATAAGCCAGAAGAAAAAAAGAAAAATATCAGATGGTTTCACTTACAGCAGGAATATAAGGAAACCAAATAAGACATCAGTGTAAAAAAAATAACAACAGTACAAAACACGACAAAGCAAAAACAGACAATTATAAATCAGAGACATACTGCAGGGAAGGAGGAGGGAGAGGGATCAGAGGGAGGGAGAGCAGAGCACAGGGGACTGAGGTGATGGTGCACAGGTGCATTGGTGACGGAAACTCTATGGGGACTACACCTGAGGAGCTGGGGGGAAGCAAATATTGTTTAAAAATGAAAAATGATGTAAAAAATTTTAAATAATTAAAAAAATAAAGAGAAAAAAGGAAAAAGAAAAATATAGTACTATTTAATTATTTAGAACAGGTTTTCTCAAAATCAATAATATTGATCTCTGGGACCGGACAGTCCTTGCTGAGGGATTGTCCTGTCCATTTTACCAAAGATGTCTCCACATTACCAAATATATTACTGGTGGGGGGAGGCAGAATTGCTCCCAGTTGAAACATACTGGTATAACAGTGTAAGTGAGCATCAGAGAGTATTTAATGATAAAAGCAAAATAGGGAAAACCCATATTTAAAAAATTAAAAAGATGCAGTTCTATTTAAATATAAGATCAAAATCTATATGGACAAAAGAAGAAAGAGTACAGAGAAATGAGTAGGGGTTAAAACCACAGGTGGTAAGTGAGACACTGAATTCTGGAAGGAGGAATTAGCTAGAAGCAGCAGAGAAAATCATTGAGACAAGACCTAGACTAAATCATACTCTGGTACAGTGAATGACTTTATATTACCAAAATCCCTATGAGAAGGGAACCCTGGTCTTTTGAATAAAGTCCAAAAAAAGTTTAAGGTAGATTATTGGAAATGAAAAAATTCAAAAATTTTAAAATGGAGTAAACTCTTTTTTTTTAATACATAGATTAAATGAAATGAAATTTAATACTGAGAACTCAACCAATTACATTAAAAAATGGAAATAACATAAATTGTGAGGCTTGGAAAAGATTGAATATATAACATAAAACTTAAAAAATAGAGAAGTTGAAAAGTTATATTCAAAGACACAACCTAAGAAGGTTTTTACTTAAAAAGTTTTTAATTTATACATGGTAAAATTCAGTTTTTTGTTGCATAGTCCTATAAGTTTTAACAAAATACAAAGAATGTTTAATCACAACCTATTTACAGAACAATTTCATCACCCCCAAAATTTCCTTATTCTGCCTCTTAACAGTCAAGTTTTACTTACTGGTAACCACTTATTATATTCCATCTCTAATTTCCATTCTTATAATTGGCTTTTTCAGAATTTCATGGTATCATACAGTTTATGGTCTTTTGTGTCTGACTCTTTTCACTGAGCACAATGCATTTGAAATTTATCTATGTTATTGCATGTATTAATAGTCTTTTTATTGCTGAGTAACATTCCATTTTAAAGATGTACCACAGTGACTTATTGCCCAGCTGAGAAACTTTTTTGGTTGTTTCCAGTTTTGGGTAACTAGAAATAAAGCTATTATACACTTGCATCTAGGTGTTTGTTGAACATAAGCTTTATTTTCAGTAGAGTCCTGTAGCAAATATATATTTAAATTTATAAGAAACTGCTTTCTAAATTCTGGCTTTCTTATCGGCAATATATAACAGTTCCAGTTGCTCTGTATCATCCCCACTTGGTATACTCAGTTTGATTTTAACCATTTCAGTAGATGTGCATTGGTGTGTCATTGTGGTTTTAATTTGAGTTTCCTTGGTGAATAATGATGTTGAACATCTTTTTATGTGTTTATCATCTTTATATATTTTTCAGTGAAGTATTTGTTCGAATCTATGATTTTTTAGAATTTTTTTTTATTCTAGGTACAAAATCTTAGACAGATGTGATTTGGAAATATTTTCTTCCAGCCTGTAACTTGTCTTTTCAATTTTTGTTATGATGTCTTTCACAAGGCAAAATTTTTTAATTTTGATGAGTCCAAATTATCAACTTTTTTTTCCTTTATGGATTGTGTGTGTTAGATCTCAAAATCTTTGTCTAATTCAGGTCATAAAGATTTTCCCCTATGTCTTCCTGTAAAAGCTTTTTTTTTACATTTAATTTATGACTCATTTTAAATTAAATGTTGCATAAAATGTGAGATATGGGCAAGCATTTTTTTATTTTGTTTTACATATGTGTAGACAGTGGTTCTAACAATATTTGCTGAAAAGACTATCCTTTCTTCATTGAGTTGTCTCTGTACCTTTGTTAAAAATCCAATTAGCTATATTTGTATCAGTTTATTTCTGGACTCTATTCTGTCTCTTTGATCTATGTTGTCTATCCTTTTGCTAATGACAATAGTATCTAATATTTAGATAACAAATACCATATGCCAGTCACAGTTCAAAGGGTTTTATATATATTAATTTGTTTGATTCTCATAAAACTGAGTTAAGTATTTTACCCCCCCCTTAACAAATGATGAAAGAAAAAGCAAAATGAGGTTGAGTAATTTGTTTAAAGGTATATAAACAGTCAATGAGGAAGCAGTAGTAATTTAAAAATTGATAAGGTCCTTCCTTGTCTAGGTTGAGGAAGAACAAAGATACCAAGTATCTCTAGTAATGATTCTAAAAACTTGTTAATTTTTGCTAGATTACCACATTCTCTGTCAGCAGTGTAATTAATTTTGAAATGAATAACTTGATATATACCCTAAGAATTTAAATTTATGCTTGTGGGAATTTAAAATCACAATATAAATAACTCATGCATTAAAGAATAAATCAATGAAAATTTGAAATACATAGAACTAGCCAATAATGAAAGCACTTGCAACAACAAAGTTGGAGCCAAATTAAAGGGAAATGTATGCCCTTAAATGCATATTTCAGAATGGGAAGCTGTAAAATAATGAGTTTAACATCCAAATTACAAGTTGAAAAAGACCAGCAAAATAAGCCTAAATAACTCAGAGGAAGGAAATAATAAAGAACAGAAGTAAATGAAATAAAAATTAAGATTCCTGGTAAAGCCTAATGAAATTAACAAAACTCTAGTAATTTAACCAAATGAAAAAATAAAAGCCATAAATAATAATAATGAAAAATGAATATATTATAGTTATAGCAGAGATTAATAAAATATTTTTGATATTTATGCTACCATATTTTAAAATTTATCCTAAATTATATATACCTAAAAAGTGACTTACAAAAAGTGACTCAAGAAGTAACAGAAAACCTAAATGAACATGTATCCATTAAAGTGAATCAGCAGTTACAAAATTCCCCCTACAGAAAATAGCAGGCCCCAATTACTTTACAATTTACTGTATACCCATGATTCAAGTATTTCTTATCTTATACAAGCCTCCCAGAGAATAGAAGGAGATTTCTGGCTGTTTGTTCAAATACATTTTCCTCTTCTTCCCAAGCAAAAAGCTAGACTACATATCCTAGCTTCCCATACCATTAGGTAAAGCCATGTGACTGAGTTCTAACCAATGGAATTTGAGTGGAAGTGATGTCATAAAAACCTCCCAAGCACCTTTCTCCATGTTCTTTCTCCCTTAGGCTGGTAGGGATTGAAATGATCCCCAGGGAACTTTAGAAACTATAAGTTATCATGGATTTAATTGACATTTATAGAACACTCAACCCAAATAAAATCAAAATACAACATATCAGGATGTGTTAGATGACACTAAAAGCAATACTTAAGGAAAAATCTATAGCAAAAAACTGCAATGTTAGAAAAATATGTAAATAACCTTAAAAACTAGAATAAGTTCAGCAAATAATATCCAAAACAAACAAAAAAAGTTTGAAAAAAGTGAAAACCAATGATATAGCAGAAAACTAACAGAGAAGGTCAATGAAACCACAAACTGGTTCACTGAGATTAATAAAGTTGACAACTTCTAGATAGATTGATCAAGACAATGAACACAAATTACCTTTATCAGAAATGGCATTACTATATATTCTACAGATATTAAAAGACTAGTAAGTCAATATTATGAACAACTTTATGCTAATAAATTTAACAACTTAGAAGGAATGGAAAAATCCCTTAAGGCATAAATTTCCAAACTCACTCAAGAATAGATAACATAGATAAACCAATGTCTATTGAAGAACCCGAAATTATAATAAAAATTCTCCCCCCATGCCCAGATAACTTTGCAGGTAAATTCTACCAGACATCACTAAAAAAAGAAAAAAGAAAGAAATTTTAAAAAATTCAGACAATGTTGAAAGACTGATAGCTTTCCTCTTAAAATCAAGGGTTTACTCTCACATCTATACAATACTGCGCTGAAGGGTCTAGCTAGCATAACCGGAAATGAAAAAGAAATAAAAGGCATCTAGATTCAAAAAGAAGAAATCAGTGTTTATATCCCCAGTGTTAAAGTCTGAATGTTTTTATATGCCTAAAATTCAAATGTCGAAAAAATTTTAATTTATTTAAAAATATTTTTATTGAGTTTATAGTGGTTTACATTGCTGTTTACATTATAGAAGTATAGAAGTGTAGTCCCTCCCTTCAGGTATTATTGCCACAGAACACCCACTACCAAAGAACCCACAATCCACCACTATAGACCCTTGTGCTCCCAACCCTCTTTGTTCTTGTCCTGATCCCTCCTTCTACCCCCCTGATTGTCCCCATTCCATAGCCAGCTTTCAAGGATTCGATTTTTAGTTTGGCTTGATCTGACCCTTCATTTTGCTTTTCTATATTCCACACATACATGACATTCTCTGATATTTGTCTTTCTCCTATTGATGAATTTTACTTAGCATAATCCCCTTCAGCTCCATCCATTTGACCAACAATGGCTGCAGTTTATCTTTTTTGTGATAGCTGAGTAGTATTCCATTTCACACACACACACAGAGGAGATTAAAATGATAAAATATTTTTGATAAATTTATGCTAACATATTTTAACACTTACTCTAAATTATATACACCTAAAAAGTGACTTAAAAAAGTGATATGAAGTAATAGAAAACCTAAATGAACATGTGTATATTAAAATGAATCAGCAGTTAAAAAGTATGAATCAGTAGTCATGGTATATATACGTGTGTGTGGTGCATATATTAATATATATCACATATTCTTGATCCATTCATCTACTTTTTTTGGAATTTAGGTTGTTTCCATTCTTGGCTATTATCAAAACATGTTGAAATTCTAATGCTCAGTGTGATGGTACAGGAGGTCAGAGGGTGGTCAGAGGGCAGAGGTCTCATAAATGGGATTACTACTTTTATATATTAAAAAAAAGACTCCCCACATAGCTGCCAAGCCCTTTCAACCATCTGAAGAGACCACAAGAAGACACTTTCACCACATTTAAAATGTGACTGTGTGGCTATCCTGATCTCAGATTTCCAGCCTCTACAATATAAAAATAAATTTCTATTGTTTATAAGCCACCTAGCTAGTGGTATTTTGTTACAGTAGCTCAAATGAACTAAGACACATAGAGAACATGATTTGTAATACAGAATGTTCCATGGAATTTTATTTTTTAATATTTTAATATTTATTTATACAAGCACTGGGGTACAGGCCAGAGGCACAGGAGGGTGAGAGAATTCACCAGAGACAGAGCAGGGAGCAAAACAGGCAGAAAGACTGAAGTACACTGCTGAGGGAAGCACCTGGTGAGACAGGAGAGGTCTGCTTCGCCATGTCGGAATCTCCCTGGCCCGCTGGAATCGAACCAGTGCTGCAGAAGCTGCAGACAGCTTCACAGTGCTGCACCCAACCCGCTATGCCACTGGGGAGGCCCCCTATGGAATTTTAGATAAACTAGTAGAACAACTGAATATAACCAGTTTGCAGGATATAAGATCAATGTAAAAGAAGTTGCTTGTCTTTTGAAACTGTTAAACTCTTAAGAGGAAAACAGGAGAAAAATGTCATGACATTTGTCTAGGAATAGGTCATGAATCTGACACCAAAGCATAGGCAAGAAAAGCAAAAATAGACAACTAAAAAACTTCTGAACTATAAAGGAAACAAACAACACAGCGAAAAGGCAATATATAGAACCAGAAAAAATATTTGCAGACCATAAAGGGCTAATTTCCAAAATATATAAGCTATAACCCAATGACAAAACAAAAACAAAAACAAAAAAACAACTTAATAGCCCAATTAAAAATGGGCTAAAGGCTTGAATCGACATTTTGCCAAAGAAGATAAATTAAAGGCCAACAGAGGTTCAACATCATTAACCATGAGGGAACTGCAAGTCAAAACCACAGTGAGCTGTCACTTCACACATTTCGGGACTGTTTTTATCCAAAAAAACCCGAAGGACACTAAGTGTTTGTAAGGATATGGTGAAATTGAAACCCTGTATACTGCTGTTGGGAATGCAAAATGGTGCAGCTGGTGTGGAAAATGGTATGGAGATTCCTCCAAAAATTATAAATAGAACCACTAATATGATCCAGCAATCCTACTTCCGGGTGTTTATCCAAAAGAACTGAAAATGGATCTTGAACTTGTATATTAACACTCCAATGTTTGTTACACTATTCGTAATATCTAGTATGTGTACAAAACCTAAATATCCATGAATGGATGGATGAATGGATAAAGAAAGGTGGAATAAATATATTATTAAAAAATAGAAACAAGAAACCTAAAATGGAGGTTTTCGTGCCTGGGCCTTGCCAGACTTAATATGTAATCTAATTGAAGTTTCAGCCTCTCCCAAAAGTGAAAATCTAGATCAATCAGTCTGGAGTTTCCTGGTCCACACTAGTGAGGTAATCTGCTTGATAAGGAACCCCCTTCTTTTTCCCTCTTCACACCCTGCCCCAGCACACATACCTTTCCTGAGGTAGGGTGAATGGCTGAAATAATCTTTTCTCTTTTGCTAATAATTTGTCCCAAGCTTGCTCTGACTATAAAATCTTCCATTTCGTACAAGCCCTCACAAAGTCTTACATCATCCTATAACCAGGTAGAAGTTGTAAAAGATACCTCAAGAGAATATATATTTTCATACTATCATCCACAAAAACATGTGAATAGTCACTTTGCTGGGAAAGTGCCGATTTTTATCACTGATTTAAAAAACAGTGCTGGGGAGTTTTGTTCATAGTTGTAGAAGATGTGGAACATTAAGATGTCACAGAACAGTCTCTTAACTTTCCCTAAGGTCGTCTTCCAGTTTTATCCCTTAAGTTTCCTTTGCATTTTCCTAGATTCTCTTCCCTATAAACTTCTTTCCAAAAGGTGGGTAGGTCATAGGCCAAAAGATATGTATTACTTTCTAGGATAAGGACTAAAATACTAGTTTCCTTGATTTGAATTAGCCAGGTATGATATAATTGAGGCCATCCTTTGCTTTTCTTCATGTATCTTCAGCATCCTCTGGTGGGCATTAATTTATTTAATAACTTTGGGGGGAAACCTTTACAGTTTTTGAGAAATGGATTTTATAGTACTTGGCACAGGAATAAACTAATTTCCTTATTTTTTTTTTTACATTACCATCTTCACAAAGTATTATATTAGTCCCTATCGTCAGATTTAAACAAACATCCAAGAGAAAAGCAACTACTTAAGTATAACTAGTACTAATGCTCTACTAATAAATGGTAATATACTATTCTAGAAAGGTTTCAGTTTTAATCTTAGAAAGAAAACAAATTTCTCATGCAATTAATTTTCTTTTAAAGATTTATGTATTTATGCATACAAGAGCTTGGAAGCAGGCCAGAGATGCAGGGGATGAGAGGATTCACCAAAGACAGAGTGGGGAACAGAACAGGCAGACTAACTGAAATACACTACCGAGGGGAGCAGCGGGCGAGATAGGAGAGTTCTGCTGCCCCATGTGGGTTGCTCCCTGGTGGGCCGGTCATCAAACTCGAACTCGTGCTGCAGAGGCTGTGGATTGCTTCATAGTGTGGTGCTTAACCCCTTGCACCACCAGGGAGGCCTTCTCATGCAATTTAAATACCCTAGTTGTGCCTATCCATTTAGTATATTTGGAATTCTGTCCCATCTACATTTGTTATCTGTTCGAAAAAATTATAAAGCACAACTATAAAAGGTAGAATGAACTATTAAAGTATATTTTTTCTCCAAAATTGCTTCTACTGAGTGATACAAAATTGATATAAAATATAATTTATAAAACAAGTAGCAAAGATCCTTAGTTTTGTAGGGTGCTGTACAATTACATAAATAGTTATTGATGTATAAGAGAACATAGAAGAAAAAGCCTGAAATTAGTGCTATTTCATTTCTGAAATCCACTCCTGTTTAGTTACAGATGTTTCTGCTTCTCAGTGAGACCGCTAATAAGCAAAGGAGTCACAAGAGAACAAAAAGAACAAAAACAGAGTAGTGACTATGGGATTAATGGGAAATCCAACACCCTAAGAGTTCACTATCAGAGACAGGAATTGTTTGCTAGGAGAGTAAATTACATATGGTTGTATGTCCATAAGTGC